GAACGGGATTCGCCGTCGGTGTTGCCGCGGCCTGTGTCCATTGACAGGAGGCCGCCTGCCCAGCGGCGGCCGTTGATGGTTTGGGGCTGCATTTGTTGTGGGGCTTCGTGCCCATTCTTTCCGCGCCCATTTCCGGCGTCTAAAAGGTCTACGCCGCAGGCGCCAAGAAACGCATCCAGAACCTTTTCAAGAAGCGCCGCGAGACGCAGAGCGAGCAGGACAAGGCAGCCTTCGAGGCGGAGAAGGCCAAGCACAAAACAAATTGCCCCGACCACAAGGCGCAAGCGGAGCAGGCCTACTCGAGCTCAGGGGACAAGCCCAGGATCACCCTCATCAACATCTCCGCGTCCGAGGACTGGTTCGACCCGAGCGGGGGGCCGAAGTCCGTTAAGAAGCGCAGCGTGCCCCTTGCCCCCCGCGCAAGGCGCTGCCGAGTCAGCGACGCGAACCTCGAGGGGGGCACCTGGCGGCGCGACGTCACCTACGAGCGGGGCGATGGCGGGGCGGAGCGCTTCCGAGCAGGCGAGCTCCTAGGAGCATTGCTCAAGGGCTGGCGCAACGCTCTGCTCGAGTTCTCCGAGGCGGACCGCGCGAAGGTTTTCGAGGCCATCGACGCGCGCGGGCGAGCTGGCGGCAAGCTGGGCCTTCGACTTCGTCGAGCAGGAGCGCGGCCAGAGCCTCGTGTTCGCAGACTGCCTCTCGAGCCAGTGGACCGAGGCAGTGGCGCGCCCGCGCGCCCATGGCCCCCGACGTCGCGAGCTTCTTGCAGGTGCCCGACGCCCGCAATCGCAGCTAGCGCAAGGCCAAGATCCGAGAGGTCAATGCCGAGGTGCACTGGGCCACGGAGCAAGACTGGGTCCAGAAGGCCAAGGGCGAGCCCCAGAAGGAGTGCAAGTCCCCGACGCGATGTGGGCCCTGCGAGTGCCTCTACTGCGTCTCCGAGGCCTACGCCCGCTTCCGCGAGCAGAACAAGGGCGCGGTGCCGCTCCAACGGATGCGAGCCAACCATATGCTCGCGGTCCGGCCGACAGTGCAAGGCGAGCTCAAGGTCGTCACGGGCATGGGGCCGTGGAGCTACTCCATCGCGCCCGGCCGCGGCATCGAGAACAGCCCGGCGAAAGAGCGCCTCGAGGGCGCCCAGAGCTGGCCCGAGGGCGCGCCGCCCGTGCCCGAGTGGAGCGTCCTCGACGGCGACTGCATCCACATAGACGACCTGCCGAGCGACTGCGAGCGGAGCGAGAACCCCTGCCTGCTGGAGCTCCGAGGGCTGGGCCTCGAGCTCACCGACGAGCAGAAGGCCGTGCTCAAAACGCCGGAGGAGCGGATCAAGGATATTAAGGTCCCGCTCGCATTCGAGAACAGGATCAAGCGGAAACGGGCAGCTCATCGCAAGAACAGGTGGGCGCCCAAGTTCGCGGGCCAGTTCCCGGGCAAGCGCGCTCGCAAGTGGCGGCGCGAGGAGGCCAAGACAGACGGCGAGACCTCGCTCGAGCATCTCAGCAGAGGCGTGGCCAAGGCGAAGCTCACGGGCAGGCCGCCGAAGGCGCGCGCGAGCTTCTCCAAAAAATTCGAGCGCGAGAAGCAGGCCCAGACAGGCGCCAAGAAGCAGGACGAGGCCAAGCAGAACAAACTGCCTCGAGGCTTGCGGCCCCCCCCCCCCCCCCCTGGCACGGCAAGGTGGCGCGCGTCGCCGAGGAGGGTGTCCGCGAGGGCAGGCTCAGCAGAGCGCAGGGCGTCTGGCCAGTCCCGGGCGCCGAGGGCGAGCGCCGCCTGCGCGCCCTCGAGGCGGGGGCCGCGGCGGCCCTCCAGATCGTGGGCGGTGAGGCTGGGGGGGCCACGGGCACTCTTTAGCTTCCGCCCGCTGCTGCCCGCGGCGGCGGAAGCAAGCGGGGGCCAACGGGAACGGGAAGAAACGACGGCGGAAGCAACGCCAAGCGGAAGCTGACGGAAGCTAACGAGTACCTGCGAATCCCGAGCGCCACAGGTCGCGATCGAGCAGGGCTACCAGTTCCCCGGGCCGCACAAGCTCGACTGGCGCCAGACCAGACAGACTCGCCGCACCGAGCTCGCCAAGGAGTGCGCGATCATGAACTGCGAGCAGATCGTCAAGGGCGACGCCCTCGAGCCGGGCGCAGTGCGCGCGCTGCTGGGCGAGATCGAGGAGCGCGCGGGCGCCCCCGAGACCGCCCTGGCGGTCGAGCCCACGGTGGCCGTCGCCTGGGCTCGAGAGGGCCAGGGCGAGGACGTGCCCGCCGCCGGGCAGCCCGAGGAGCAGAAGCGCTGGGCCGAGAGGGTCGACAAGGCCCAGGACGTGCTGGTCTCCGTGCATCCCGAGGCGCCCGCGCGCCACGCGCGCCTCGAGGTCGGCGGATGCTGCAATTGCCTCCCCCCCCAAGGTGCCTCCAGCGTTTCGCTCCGGTTTGAGGCGAATCCTGGAGGCGCCCTGGGCAGGGGGGATTTGTGGCAATTCCCACCAGGCCTCGAGGCTCGGCGGGGTCGGCGTCGCGGTGGAGTACCGCGACGCCCTCGAGCAGCCGCCCGAGAACGCCCCGCGCGTGGCCTTCCAAGGCCGCCGCGAGGATCCCCTGCAAGCTCGGCGCCATTGGCCTTGGCGAGAATTGCCCAGCACCGAGCAACAAACGGTGCCGAGTGGACGGTTGGAGCTGCGGCCTGTGGGCGAGTCGCTGGATTGAGCGCGCCCCGCGCGAGATCTGAGGCGAGGGCCGCCAAATACCAGCGAGCCTCAACGCTATGGTCGCTCGAGGCAACGACGAGTTTATCAATCAACTCAAGGGGGCCAGCGAAAACGACTTGGCGACGGCCGAGGCCTAGGACAAAGCCGAGGCCGAGGCTAAGCGCAAGCCCAACCCCTGCAAGGGCCCCGCTGCGGCCGAGCCGACGTGCGCCACTTTCGAGGAGGCAAGCGATGCCGCCCAGCTTTGCACCGAGTGTCGCCCATGCAGGGGCGGCTCCAGAAGACGCCGCGCTTGCGTGGGAGATTGGTTCGAAGGCCAGCGCGAGAGAGGTTTCTTGGCCAGATCGGCCAGGGGCCTCTCTTGCGCTGGCAAAATGTAGGCACGGGCCTCGAGATCTCTCGAGTCAGCCTTGTGCCGAGCGCCTGCTGGCAAGTCGTCTATCCACGAGCCTCGATATCTCTCGAGTCAGCCTTGTGCCGATGGCCTGCTGGCAAGATGCATAGCCACGAGCTTCGACATCTCTCGAGTCAGCCTTGTGCCGAGTGCCTGCTGGCAAGTTGTATAGCCGCGAGCCTCGAGATCTCTCGAGCCAACCTTGTGCCGAGCGCCTGCTGGCAGTTTGTATAGCCACGAGCCTCGATATCTCTCGAGTCAGCCTTGTGCCGAGTGCCTGCTGGCAAGTTGTATAGCCGCGAGCCTCGAGATCTCTCGAGTCAGCCTTGTGCCGAGTGCTTGCTGGCAAGTTGTATAGCCACGAGCCTCGAGATCTCTCGAGTCAGCCTTGTGCCGAGCGTCTGCTGGCAAGTTGTATAGCCACGAGCCTCGAGATCTCTCGAGTCAGCCTTGTGCCGAGCGCCCAGGATCACCATCATCATTAACATCATCATCATCATCATCATCATCGTCATCGTCATCATCATCATCATCACCATCATAAGCATCGTCATCGTCATCATTTACATCATCATCATCATCATCATCATCATCATCATCATCATCATCATCTTCATCATCATCATCATCAACAATATCCGTATCCCCGGGAATATCCTCTACCATCCCGGCATTGCCCCGAACTTTATTTTCCCTGGGGTACTGTTGTCGCCCGCGCTCGGTAATCGAAGGAAGGCCAGTGCCTTCTAAGAAGCAGCCTCCTTTTAGGAAATCATATCCCCTCCCCCCTCTCACCCCTGCGTGGTCGCCGCCAGGAGCATGTCCGAGCACCCATGTCCCCCCAGTTCGGGAAAAACAGGGCGGGAGGTTATTCTCCATGTTCGGCTTTTGGGGGCCCTCCAAGCGCCCAGGGTCTGTCAGGACACACTTTTTGACGACAGGCCGATCCTGGGGAATGGGTCCAGACCGTTGGGGTCGGCATCGTGACGAAATCATGACGTCGGGGGTCGGGGGGCAGCACAACCTACCCCCACCCACAGCCAGGACCCCTTGTCTCAACCTGGATCACCGGGTCGGAAGTGGGGGTCCTGGTTGGGAGGTGGTGGGGCTTGGCGGTGTTGTCCTGGATGTCCGTCTCCGCGTCCCCAGGCATGGGTTTCTTGTGGGAGGTTTCTGGTGGATTGGCCTCCACCGCAGGTCTCTCGAAGCAGGCGGCTGTGCCTGCTTTAGTCTGCCTTGCTCGGCTGTCCCTGCGGGCTTCGGGCCTCGGCTCTCGTTCGGCCTCCGTCCCTCCGTCCCTCCGCCGCCCTCGTTCGCTCGTCTCTTTTGGGCCCTCGCTCGGCCTCGTGCTGCCATGGGAGCCAGCGCTCGACTCCAAGCCACGTCCAAAATAAGAGGGTGCGCTCTGCGTGGGGCATCCGTGAAAAAGCGCCCCAGATCCTCGGGGTCGCGGCCTCTGGGGCCCGGCCCACTTCGCTGCGGATGCGGATTTAGGGTTTTCGCCCACGGCTTCGTGCTGCGCAGCTCTGGTCCGCACAATCAGCCCTCTCCAGAGCCGGGCCACTCGAATATAAATGTCGTGTGGGAGGTTCCTTGCATTTGGCCACGCCCGAAGTCCTTTCGTGGGCACCAGGATGAAGGTCGAACGACGACTCAGGATTGAGCCTTTGGGCCCCCAGGGGTGGGGTCGAGAGGTCTGGGAGCCACGCCGTAACAAAAACGCAGGAATTTCTCAGGGCACGCCGATCGAGCCATTTTCCAGACGGGTTCCGATCGGACTGACCCACAGGCGACGCGGCCTGACCTCGATCGAGGCAGATCGTACGAACTGCACGAGGCGTCCTGCGTCCTCTGGCCGCTCGCATCTTCTCGAAGAGGGGATCTCGGGAGGATGAGGATCGTGATGCCGAGGCGACGCCCCTCGGCGCCTGCAGCCTGGAGCCCCCGGCGAAGGCGCCGCCGCCTGCGAAGGCACCGCCGCAGAGTGCCGACGGCCCGCCGCCGCCCGCGAAAGCGCCGCCGCCGAGTGCGGTCAGCATGCAGCCCCCGGCGAAGGCGCCGCCGCCGAGCGCCGACGGCACGCAGCCGCCAGCGAAGGCGCCGCCGCCGAGCGCGACCGACGCAGCCCCCTTGGCGAAGGCACCGCCCCCGGAGCGTTCCGCGCAGGCTCCGCCGCAGGACGGCGCGAGCGGCCTGGACCCGCCAACGAAGGCGCCGCCGCCAAGCATTGGGGGTGCGCAGCCCCCCGGGAAGGCGGCGCCCCCCGGACACTGCGGCTCGGGGCCGCCAGCGAAGGCGCCTCCCCCCGGCGCCACCGTCCAGGAACCGCAGGCGAGGGCGCCGCCTCCGGGCGCGGGCAGATGCGAGCCGCCGGCGAAGGCTCCGCCTCCCAGCGCTGGCTTCCAGGAGCCTCAGGCGAAGGCGCCGCCCCCAGGCGTCGACAGCTCGGAGCCGCCGGCGAAGGCGCCGCCCCCCAGCGCCAGTGGCCAGGAGCCTCCAGCGAAGGCGCCGCCTCCGGGAGTGAGCAGCTCGGAGCCGCCGGCGAAGGCGCCGCCCCCCAGCGCTGGTGGCCAGGAGCCTCCGGCGAAGGCGATGCCGCCGGGAGTCTGCGGTAGCCAGCCGCCCGCCAAGGCAGTGCCGCCTGGTGTCACGGACGCCCCCACGCCTGCGAAGGCTGCGCCGGATGCGGTAAGAGGGAGGTGTAGCCGAAGTAGTCTATGAGCAGTGGGAGTTGTTCTTTTCACAGAAGCCCTCGTTTATCGCCAATTGGGGAAGCCACTGGAAGTCATCGGTGCATTCGGGGAAGTTGGGAAAGCCAGGATCATGTGCGGCACAGTTTTGGCCATGTTGGGCGAAACGGTGTGAAGCTTCAGCTCCCCCTGACCTGCCACCCTGCGTCCCTGCCTTCGTCCTCGCCCCTTTTGTCGCTGCGTCTCGTCAGAGCGGAGGCCATCAGTACCTCCTGTGTTCTTCCCGTTTGGGTATAAGGCACGGGGCGTCGGCTTCGGGCTCCCTTTCTCTTCTGATTCCTGGCTTGCGGTGCTCGGAGAGGTGGCAAACATTCGGCGTTCAATGTGTCTTGAGTCCTTCCTCGATCCTTCTGAATCCGAGAACACGTGCGCGCCATTCTCCTGCAGGTGATGAGTCGCACCGTCATTTTTCCTAACTGTTGATCCGTCTGCCTCCCTCTTGCCTCCCCATAGTTCACCACCCACCAAACCACCCCAACCCAACCCGAAGGCTCAGATTTACCCTCGATTTCCAGTGGGGGGGGTCGGGAAACATCGAAAAAACACATGTGGAACCCTTGCCCCCCCCAACCCGAAATTCGGGTCTTCGGGTTGGGTTGGGGTGGTCTGGTGTCGTTAATAGTCTTCCAACCTTGCGCGTGTGCTGAATCACCATTCGTATGTTGCGGCCTGCTCCCGGTCCTCCTGGGGGGCCAGCGCGCCACACGCTCGCCCGCCTCCTTTGCAAGGGCGCCGTCCCTTCCCGGCGATGGCAGCTCTGTTCGTTCGCTCGATCGCTATTGGCCTTTCTTATTCACGAGGCTTCCACCCTGCCGACCTCCAGAATAAGATATGAGCGGCTTCGGATTCGTGTGTGGCGTTTGCCAGCTTGCCTGCGCGTAATTGTTTTTGATTCATCCTCCTTTTCCTCCGCGTCTGCTGCGGGCTTCCTGGGGTCTTCGGGGTTGGCCTTGTGGAGCTTGTTCAACGCTCCCCAGGTTTTCTAGACCTCTCTGCGGGCTTCTGGGGTGCCTCTCGGAGTCATCTTGGGGGAGCAGGTTCCCCTTCTAGGCCTCTCTTGGACCCCTCTTGGGGCCTCTTAGAGTCATGTTGGGGGGTCAGGTTCCCCCTTTAGGCCTCTCCTGGAGCCCTCTTGGGGCCTCTTGCGGGTCTTTGTTCCCGTCGTGAGGGCTTTCTGGGCCGTCTCGAGAGACACCGACAACCAAATATGCGCCGAAAACCAAAAGGGCGCCGTAATGCAAAATGACACCAGAAACCAGAGGGGCGCCGACAGCAAAGAGGGCGCCGAAAGCCAAAAGGGCGCCGAAAACCAAAGGAGCGCCGAACACCCAAGGGGTGCCGAGAACCCAAACAAGACAAGTAGCTTTGAAGCCCCCCTTCAGCCAGGGCCCTCCAGCTGGAAAGTTAGCAGAAGGAGGGGAGGGGGATTTAGCTTCGGACGCCCCCCCCCTTGGAAAGGGGAGCACGGGTTTACCCTGGGCCTCGAAAAGGAGGGGGGGGTTTGCTTCCCAAGCCCCCCCCCTTAGCCAGGGACCCCCTAGCTTCAAAATCCAGATAAAAGGAAGGTAGGGGGGGGGACAGCTTCGTTGGTTAGCCCCCACCACTTTGAAAGGGAAGCCCGGGCTGACCCCGGGCCCCGAAAAGGGGGGAGGGGGAGGGGGGTAGCTTCCAAGCCCCACCCCCTTAAGGCAGGGCCCCCCCCAGCTAAACATGCCGACAGGCGGGGAGGGGGGGTAGCTTCGGAAGCGCCCCCCGCCCTTTCCAAGGGAAGGGGGGCGGTAGTTTGAAGCTGGGGCCCTTCTTTTTAGTGAGAAGTGGGCCGCGAACGCGCTCTCTCTCTCTCTCTCAGATTTTACGCATGACACTCGATCTTTGATCGCTACTTTACACTCTGCTTCGCCTGTCTCTTTTCACGTTAATTGCAATGCGCGCGTGTCTCCGCCTCCCCTTGTTTGGTATCCTCCTTAGATGCTGGTTATCATGGTGTTACGGTTTTTCTTGTACCTCCCTTCAGATGTCGCCGCGGAATGGGTTACTCCCTTTTGCGGGCCACTATTCTTTGCCAGGTCTTTCAGCATTGCTGCCTTTGCACCCGTCCGCGGCCGACGTCCGGGGCTTCGCCTTGGCAATTCTCAATTCCACCTTGACCGACGGTTCTTTGGCTTCGGCCACCCTGGTGCTTACGCAGTTGTCCGGGGTCCGGGCTCATGCATTAATTCTACGGCTTCCGACCCTGGTCGTCGTTTGTCCCGACATCCTGGTGCTTCCGACGTCCTGCATACTTGCACGCTGGCAGTTCGACTCAGTCTCAGTCACCCCTGCCACCCGCCCGCCGCTGGGCCGCCGCCTGAGGCCTCGGCTAGCTGCGTTTGACGTGGCCTGCCCCCGCTGCCTTCGCTTAATTCGGCGCTGCGTAGCTCGCTTTGACCTGACTCGCCGCCGGCGCGTTCGCCAGAGGCCGCTGACTAAAAATTAAGTCGGCGATTGTCTTATTTTCCGCCTTTTCTAACGCTTCAGGCATCGGCCCTAAGTCCGCGCATCGTCTAAAAGGAGGAGGAGGGGAGGAGGAGGAGGAGGAGGAGGAGAAGGCTGCCCAGACGGGAGTCAGAGCGGATGAGTTCGGGGGATCGCGCCGCATCGCCGATGCAGCATCGGCGACGATTTGTTCCATCCTCATGCCGTTGATGCGTCCATCGCCGATGCGTTGGCGGTGCGCCGGGATATTCCAGCCGCATTAACTCCAGCATCCTTTGACCGGCCTGCCCCCCCCAATGGTGTGGAAGTGCCAGCGGAAACATGCACCTGCAACGATCCTTGCCCGTGCGAAGGGAGGAGGAAGAGGAGGAGTAGGAGGAGGAGGAGGAGGACGATGAGGAGGAAAACGAATCTATTCTTATTATTCATAAGAATAAGTTCAATAATAGTACTACAAGTACTATTAATACTAGTAACAATACAACTAGGAATAAGCAGAAGGCGAATAATAGTACGAATGATAATATACATGAGTAGTGAACATAATCATAATAATACGATTCATAATAATATGAAGAAGCATTCGAATAATCAGAATACTCATAAAAAAGACGAATACTATTACGGAGAAGGATAGTAAGAAAAAATCACAGCACTAAGAAGAAACATAATGATACCCATAACAACTTTTAATAAGAGCTCGAATGATCATAATATTAAGAAGAACACCTTTATTAAGAATAATAATATCAGTACTGCGAATAATAATAATAAGAATAACAACGTGAACACAATAATTATATGACTAATAACACGAATGATACGAATAGTACTAATATAACGAATAATCATACTACTACTAATAATAATGATAATATAAGACAAATAAGAAGAAACATAATAATATTAATAATACTATTACTACTATTGATAATACTGATATGAATAAGAATAAGAAGAATAATACGTATAATGAGAATAGTACGAAGAATAAGAATACTAATAATAATCATAATAATAAGAAAAAGAAGAATAATACGAATACTAAGAATAATAAGAATAATAATAATAAGAAGACAAATGAGAATAATAAGAATAATAATAATAATAATAAGAAGAAGAATAAGAAGAAGAAGAAGAATAATACTAATAAGAATAATCCGAATAATAAGAAGAAGAATAATAATAAGAAGAAGAAGAATAAGAAGAAGAAGAAGAAGAGGGGGAGGAGGAGGACGGCGGCGACGACGCTGACGACGACGACGGCGGCGGCGGCGGCGGCGACGACGCCCGCGCCTCCCGACCGAGGCCGCGCCCCCCGCCAAGGCGCCCCCCGCGGCGGGCGCCCCGCCGGTGAAGGCGGCCCCTCGCCGCTCGCTCGCGCGCCGCGGCCGGGCGCCGGTGGCGCCGCCGCTTCTGCTCGAGCAGTGGCGAAGCGTCCTGGCTTGCCTATAGTCAGAGGAGGGAGAGGTACCCATACCTCTACCCTCCCCTCGTTTTCCCCGTTTTGGGCCCCCTGGGCCTCCGGCGTCGCCACCGCTGGAGTCGCCTCGAAATCCTGGTCAGAACGCAGCCTGGGAGAGGTCCGTGGAGTAACGGTATCGGTTCCTTTTGGTTTCCCCATATAGGCCCACCACATGATGTTTTAAGAATTTTGCGCAGTTTGTACGACATGTTCTTATTACATTTCTTGCTGGGACTTGTCTTGTTTTAACACATCGGATGTGTGTTGTAAGCATATGTTGGTTCTTATATTATCCTCGGGTTCTAAGCTAAGACAATTTCGTGGTAGGCCTACAGGAATGCCGAGACGGTCGGTCCCTGCTCAAGTCTCTGCGCGAGGGTCAGTCTGGCAACGTTTCGGGGACCCTCGGAGCCTGGCGTTGCAACATTTTTTTCCCAGCGGGGGCTTTCGCCTCGTTCCGTCGGGCCGCGGTTGCTTCACGCGTCGGCCCGGCTCGAGGAACGAGGCAGGCAAAAGGGGGCCCGGGGCGGTGGTCGTGGTCTCTCTTTGCGATGCTTCCGTTCTGTTCGCAACGTCGGATCTCAGGGGTTCCCCGAGCGGTGCGGTGACCACACCGTGTGGTGAGTCGTAGGGGATTCGGGGTCACCGCACGGTTTTGTGATTCGGGCCGCTCTCCGAGGACATCTCGGGCGACCAGGGCCTCCAGGGTCCCGAACCTTCCTTGGACGGACCGCGCGGCGGTGCCGCTGGGGTGTCCGCAGCCGCCACAGGGTCGGTCACCACACGGTTTTGGGGGCCCCGCAACGTCAGGGAGGAGCAAGCTCGGGTTTTTGTTTTGTTTTTGTTTGGCGTTTTCTTTGGCGTTTTGCGTTGGTTTATCTGCGATTTTCCAGCCTCGAGGTGCTCTCCAGCAGCCGAGCCTCGCCGGCAGCGTTCCAGGTGTGCCCGGATCTTCCGAACCGAGCGGCCGCCAGAGTCCCGAAGGCCATTGGGGACGGGTATGGTCCCAGGGGGGGACGCATCGACTCCCAATCGCCCATGGATCGCTGGTAGGCTTAAGTCGGGCCTGTCCCTCTGAAGGAGGAATATTCAAAAGTAGTCAAGTAATAGTCAGGGGACGATGTTTTGACTTCTTTTTTTTTGGTGGGTATTTTTTGGGTTTTCCCGCCCAGGAGCGTGCGGTTCGGGGGCCTGTCGCCGATCTATCGGCGACGTATCGCCGATATTCTAGGTCGATGTTTTTCCCCCCTGAGCCGGCGCCCCCCCTGGCGTTCGATCTCGTCGTCGTCATCGTCCTCCTCCTCCTCCTCCTCCTCCTCCTCCTTCCTCATCCTTGCCCAGACGAGCGTTTTGGAGCACCGAGGTTTTGAAGTGCTCGTGGACCGAGGTTTTCGAGGACCGAGGATCAATCTGGGCTGCGGAAGCCAGGACCTTGCCTGATCCAGCGGGGGCAAAGAAAGAACGGAGAGTGGTTCTACCCACCCCTGCAGTTCGCTTCGGGTGCGCCAGCGTCCAGGTTTACCGAGCCCAGCATCGAGGTTAGTAGCCATTTTCGCCATGTTTGGGCCGAATTTGAAGCTTCTCGCTGGGTGTGCTCCGAAATTCTACTGCTTACTCATCCCATGGACAGGCCCAGTCTGCGATGTTTGAACTCCGGGGCTTCCCTGCGCAGACCTTTTTCGCGTCGTGAGAAAGTATCGGCAGAAGGTTGGTTGTTGTGCTTTTTCCAGCGTCCGGGATCTCTGAAAAGGCCCCAGGACCGCCGAGAAACGACTCGGGACGATAAGCCTCTCCGCGGAAGGGGTCGAGGCCTCTGGGTGCCCACGTCGTCTTCCTTCCCCGGAAGGGCCCCCCTCCTCAGTGGCCAGACGCATCCAGTACCGCCCTGGCTGGTCTGGGTTCGGGAGCCACGTGTGGAGCCGACCCGTCCTACCAGACCCCCGAAGCTTTGTCACATCCGCTCGCGCATCACGGACAACAACGACGCTGACACCAACTAGAAACATTCGAGTACATCCCATTTTCGAGATTCGAAATCCGACAAGTTTCAATACACAGAGTAGAGAGAAGGGACACAGTATGCTACTGTGGGTTAACGGTGCCAAGATTGGTGCGCACGGTGGGCGTGATATACCACGTGTACGAGTGGGGAAGAAGCGTGATGATTATGTGTCTTGCGCTTCCAGCGAGAATGGAGGCGGAGGATAATGATGCGACAAGGCAAGACCCTCTGAATGAGGCAAATGTTTGGCTCCCCCGTTGCAACTCGCGCAGTTCATGTCTAGCTTGACATGGGTCATATGGCATGGGGTCTGTCGTTGTTTTTGTCTTTCGTTTTTGCATGCCTGGCTGGCTGATTAGTGACCAGATCGTCCGGCGATCGGGCGTCCCACTTATGTCAGCAGGCTGGCTGTTCGACTGGATGACTGGCTGGCTGGCTGACTGGCTGGGTCGTAGGTTGGCTGGCTGGCTGATTGGGCGGCTGGCTCGTTTGTTGGCGGGTCGGATGACTGGCGGGACGGACTGTTGATTGTCGGTTGCTGGATCTTTCGCCGGCGAGGGCCCCAGACGGGCCCCGTGATTGCCGATCGTGTTTCAAGGGAATTTTGGAGGGTAGTTTTTGGACCCCCGCTTGACGTGTTACTCTCCTAGGCTTTCATGAGGCTCTCTAGGAGATTTGCTGGTGCTCTCTTGGGGCACTCACAGGGTCCCTCTTGGGGTCGCGAGGGGCTGTCCATTGCCATCTTTGGGAGTTCCAGGAGCTCCCCAAGAGGGCCCCACGAGGGCCCCGTGAGGGTCCTGCCAAGCTTGTATATTGAGCCACCACCAAAAGACTGCCTCGAAGGCCCCCCCCAGGATCCTTTCGGGATTACAGTCGGGGCCCTGAAGAAGGAACCCTTTCCGTTGGGGAGGGGCTCGGTGTTCCTTAATTGTTCCACACCTTGCCTAAGGTCTTCCTGAAGTTTTCGATGGCAAGTAGAAGTTTAACTTCTGAAAATCAGGGGCCTCGTTCCTTATGCAGGGTTCCTTAGGTCAACGCCTCGACTGTACCCGGGGACTTCCTTGGGTCCTTTTGGGGGGCCCGCTCGCAGCCATGCTGGGGACCTCCAGGGCCCCCTCAAATCTCTCAGAGGGCGCCGTCGGTGGCCCTCTGGCGCAATCCTGGGGGCGCCCAAAATGGTTGCAAAACGCTCCGCGGAGGGGTGGGTCTTGAGATGCCTTCCAAGGGCTTTTTCTCTCCGGCTCTCTCGGGCGTCTCTCGGGGCCCTCCCGGGGCCATCGGGCTCCTCGAGGGCGGCCCTTTGTTGGGCGCTCTTGGGCTCGGCTCTGCCTCGCGGTGCCCTCGTTAGCAACCAAGGTACGGCTTTCCAGGGCAACCCGTACGTCCGTCCAACGCAGGTTCTGAAGGGTCAGCGGTGGTTTTGGGTTTTGCTGGCGACCAGCATCGTCCGCACCACCATCGCCGTACTGCTGGCAGGTTGCATCATCATATTCATCGTCATCGTCATTACCATATTAGCCATTAGCATTGCTATTCTCAGTATTTACTTGGCCTCCCGCTCTGCGCTACAGTGCAAGTATAGTGCGTAGCAATGCCAGCATGAGAACTCATGCATCTCAGCAACGTCCGTACCCCCTCGCGAATTCTGCCAAACAAGTGTAGTCGCTCGTCTGCTGGCGGACAGGCGAAGACGCATTACCCTAGCATGATTGTCACGGGTGTACTTGAGCATCATGAGCGGCACGGGAAACCCCATAATCGGAGTGATTTCTCGACACGGCGCATGGAAGGCCCATCAGGCTCCCGATCGCTGTCATGCAAAGGACAGCCGACCCCAGGGTATTCAATAAAGAGACCTTGAGCATGGGGCATCGCCAAGTGGGACCCAGCCTCCGCGTGATGTGTTGGTTGTGGAATGACGGGAAGACGATCCCTCGAGCCCCGATGGGTCCCATAGGCTCGGCGCAAAAACATCAACAACATGCCAGACAATAGTTGGCACAACAGCAGGTACAACATCTGGTACGACGAGAGCAGCACATAGCAGCAACAAACACTTGCATCACAACACGTTGCCGCGCAAGACGGTCACATAAAGGGTAGGTGGATTCTGGGCCCCAGGAGGGCCCATCCCAACAATTCCAGCCCTACTGATTCCTTATGCTTTCAGTTTTGCGCACTTGTTTGTTGCGATTATGAAGGCCTTACGGCCGGTGCCGCCGACCCTGAAGTTGACGAAGACGACGACGACGACGACGACGACGACGACGACGACGACGACGACGACGACGACGACGAGACGACGACGACGACGACGACGACGACGACGACGACGACGACGCGACGACGACGACGACGACGACGACGACGACGACGACGACGGCGGCGGCGGCGGCGGCGGCGGCGGCGGCGGCGCCGGCGGCGGCGGTGGCGGCGGCGGCATCGGCGGCGGCGGCGGCGACGACGACGACGACGACGACGACGACAACGACGCCAACGACGACGGCGACGGCGACGACGGGCACGTGGCCGACGGGGGTAGTTTTGGGGCCTCTTGGGAGCCTTGGGGGCCTATTTGGGGGCTCCTGGGGGCCTTGGGGCCTATTCTGGGCCTCTTGGTTGCCTCTTGGGGCCGCTTGGGGGTCTCTTGGGGACCTCTTGGGGCCTCTTGGGGGCCTCTTGGGGCCTCCTGAGGACCTCTTGGGGCGGAAGGCTCGAATCCGTCTTGGGGCCGTCTTGGGTCATCCCGGGCGCGGCCCGTCCCTTGCCGTTTGCATTGGTCGCCGGCCGCCCAAACCACCCCACTTTGGGCCCCCAAGGGTCCTGCGTCACTGCCACCCGTTTTTCGATGCACGCGCTGACTGTAGAGCTGCGCGCCGCAGGCCGCCCGACGACCCCCGAGGCGCCGCCGAGCCTCCTCGACGGCGGCCGCCCTCGGAGGAGGTCAGAGCCAGCGCTTCGGCGTCCTCGCCCTCGGCGCCTCGCTCTCGGTGCTCGGTCGCCGAGCAGCGGAGGTACAGTCAACCCGCACAGTAAGGATGATCGACTTCCCGAGGTTAAGCGGGAAGGGTCTTTACATTTCGTCGAAAATCCCCCTGTAGGGGGACAGGCCCTACTTAACGAAGACACCCGGCTCGAGAAAATCGAGTCGCCAGGATCTCAGGCCCCCCTCCGTGGGATAGGAGCCGGACGGTCCAGATGTGCGTTGAGGACGGGTGGGAAGGACGCAAGGCCCCTGGAGGCCGAAGCCGAAGCGGGGATTTGCTGGGCGGCGGCTGAGAAAAAACAAAAAAACAGGGACGCAAGGGAAGCTTGACCCAGGGAGAGGCCAGCGAAAACAGCAAAGGACGGGCCGCAGAGGCAGAGGACACAAGGGTGCCCCAGATGAAGGCGCGCGTCCTTACTGGGCGCACTGACTGTACAAGCAGCGCCTCCAGGCCGCGGAGGACCGCCCGCGCGATGCGCGGCGGCACCTGCGGGAGGGAGCGCTGCACGAGCGTCTCGGCACCAGGGCGCGGCAGGCGCAACGAGGGCGCGGGCGGCGGCGCTGAGCAGATCGGGAGGTCGTGCGTCCGAGGGGGGGCGTCCAGAACCGGCCTCGAGCTTATCTCTATCTGTAAGACGGGCTTGGGTCGGGCCTGTCCCCCTATACAGGGTGATTTTGGGCGAAAAATAAACCCGGCCTCGAGCTTATCTCTATCTGTAAGACGGGCTTGGGTCGGGCCTGTCCCCCTATACAGGGTGATTTTGGGCGAAAAATAAAAAATCCCCCCATTGCCACCAAAATCATCAAAAATTGTCAGAAAATCGTCCGCAGACTGTTTTCTAACGATTCAGGGCGACGGCACCCCGGGGTGGTATTCAAGCCCAGCCCATCAGCCGATCAGCCGAATAGCCGATCAGCCGATCAGCCGATCAGCCGATCAGTGGCCGAGCAGCCGATCAGCCGATCAGCCGATAAGTCTTATCGGCTGATCGGCTGCTCGGCCGCTGATCGGCTGATCGGCTGACCGGCCGATCGGTAGTGTATCGTCGGCTGATCGGCGTCTCCGACGGACTTGCAAGAGGCCCCAAAGCTGTTCGAAGACGGCCCCATGTTCTCTCGGAACCCCCTCAGGCATCAGGATCCTCCCAAGATGCCAACATCCTTCAAAAGCCTAAAGACAATATATGTTGTTTACCTTCTCGCCTTGTCGCTTCCGATTGCCTTTTTGAGGCCGCAAGACGGCCCGATGATGGTCCAAGAGAGCTCCGAGAGGGGCCCCACAAGGCTTCAAGACGGCCCCCAAAACGCCCAACAGGCGCCCAGGAGCGCCCCAAGAGCGCCCCAATACGCTATTGTTGAACCTCCGACGGGGGGGATTTGTTTTAGCTACCCGCATCTTGAACTATGGGGAGGAGGAGGAGGAGGAGGAGGAGGAGGAGGAGGAGGGAGGAGGAGGAGGAGAGGAGAGCAGGAGCAGCAGAGCAGAGAGAGGAGGAGGAGGAGAGAGAGAGGAGGAGAGGAGGAGGAGGGAGGAGGAGGAGGAGGAGGAGGGGGGGGGAGGAGGAGGAGGAGGAGGAGGAGGGAGGAGGAGGAGGAGGAGGAAGGAGGAGGAGGAGGAGGAGGAGGAGGAGGAGGAGGAGGAGGAGGAGGAGGAGGAGGAGAGGAGGAGGAGGAGGAGGGAGGAGGAGGAGGAGGAGGGGGAGGGGGAGAGGAGGGAGGAGGAGGGAGGCGGAGGGAGGCGGAGGCGGAGGAGGAGGAGAGAGGAGGAGGAGGAGGAGGAGGAGGGGAGGAGGAGGGGGAGGAGGAGGAGGGGGGGAGGAGGAGGAGGAGGGGGAGGAGAGGGAGGAGGCGGAGAGGAGAGGAGGGACGAGGAGGGGGAGGAGGAGGCATGGCCTTCCAAGGCCCTGGTCATGGCCTTCCAAGGTCCTGGTACATCCTTAATCCTGCGTCATTCTTATTCTAAGGCTTGACTGTGCGCACGACGCGCCGCAAGCCGTTCGAAGACCTCCGAAGCGCAGCCGAGCAGCGGCGGCGGCTTTGGCGACGTCGGCGACGGCCGCGGCGGCCCGGTAGGCCGCGCCCCCGTCGGCGGGCGGCCCGTTGCTGAAGAAGGCGCCCCCCCCGGGCGTGGCGGGCGGCGAGCCCCCGGTGAAGGCCCTCGCTTGGGGGGGAGGCCGGGGAGCTGGGAAGGGCAAGGGGGGAGGAGGGGGAGGAGGGGGAGGAAGAGGTGTAGGAGGAGGAGGAGGAGGACGAAGAGGAGGAGGATGAGGAGGAGGAGGAGGACCGGACCAGTGTAAAACCAAGAATCATCAAAGTCATCAACGATGTTGGAATTCACCCTTCCTCCACGCTCCCTCTTCATAGGCCACCACAACGGTTCATTTCCATCGAGGAAACTGCCTCGTTGGAAGACAACCGTTTGAAGATCCTGAAGCATGCCGAAACACTGTTCTCGGGATTTCAACGCCACGTATCAACCTGACTGCTGCGTCTTGACGATCCAGAATCGTGCCAGAACGCCGTTTTTGGGATTTCGACACCGCGAATCAACATAACTGTTGCGCCCGCGTAATCCTGAATCCGTCCACAGCACCATTACTGGTACGTTGATCGTGGGAATCCGTGAAACTCTTGCAAATGTTTAAAGCGAATGCGGCGCTAAGGCGAGAGCCACATCTTGAAAATGACCCGCCCTCAATCCGTGAAGCTCTTGCACATTTTGAAAACCATGTGCGCCGCGCTAAGGCGAGAGCTACATTTTGAGAAGGAACCGCCCTCAACCCATGAAACTCTTGCAACGGTTAAGCGGAAGTGCGCGGCGCTAAGGTGAGAGCCACATGTTGAAGACGACCCGCCCTCAATCCGTGGAGCTCTTGCAACTATTTAAAACGAATGTGCGCGGCGCTAAGGCGAGAGCCACATGTTGAACACCACCCGCCCTCAATCCGTGAAGCTCCTGCAGATTCTTACAACGAATGTGCGCCGCGCACATTCGTTTAAAGAAGGGGTAGGCGGTGGAAAAGTGGGAGGAGGAGGAGGAGGAGTAGGGGGAGGAGAAGGAAGAGGAGGAGCAGGAGGAGGAGGAGGAGGAGGAGGAGAAGGAGGAGGAAGAGGGGAGAGGAGAAGGAGGAGGGGGAGGAGGAGGAGGAGGAGGGGAGCAGGGGGGGGAGGAGGAGAAGGAGCAGGAGCAGGAGCAGGAGGAGGAGGGGAAGGGAGGAGGAAGGAGGAGGAGGGGGGGAAGGAGGAGGAGGAGGAGGAGAGGAGGAGGAGAGGAGATGATGAGGAGGGAGGATGATGAGGAGGAGGAGGAGGAGGGAGGATGGAGGAGGAGGAGGAGAGGAGGAAGGAGGAGGTGGAGGAGGAGGAGATGGAGGAGGAGGAGGCGGAGGAGGAGGTGGAGGAGGAAGAGGAGGAGGAGGAGGAGGAGGAGGAGGAGGAGGAGGAGGAGGCGGAGGCGGAGGCGTAGGAGGAGGAGGAGAAGGAGGAGGAGGAAGATGAGGAGGAGGAGGAGGAGGAGGACCAGCGGAAACCCGAGAGTCATCAACGATGTTGGAATTCACCATCCCTCCAAGCTTTGTCCCCTCGTCATAGGCCCCTACAACGGTTCATTTCCATTGAGGGAACTGCTTCGTTGGAAGTCAACGGTTTGAAGACCCTGAAGCATGCCAGAGCATTGTTCTCGGGACTGTTTCGGGTTGACGATCCTGATTCGTGCCAGAACGCCATGCCTGGGACTTATTTCACCATTGCGAATCAACGTAACTGTTGCGCCCGCGTCATCTTGAATCCTTTCAAAACACAATTTTCCTGGTAGTGGAGGAGGAATAAGTAGGAGGAGGAGGAGGAGGAGGAGGAGGAGGAGGAGGAGGAGGAGGAGGAGGAGGAGGAGGAGGGAGGAGGAGAGAGGAGGAGGAGGAGGGAGGAGGAGGGAGGAGGAGGAGAGGAGGAGGAGGAGGAGGAGGAGGAGGAGGAGGAGGAGGAGGAGGAGGAGTGGAGGAGGAGGATGTTGAGCCTATGTCATGGAGGGTTGCCCCAGGCGGCCCCCGTCGCCGCCGGCCCCACCGCCGCTGGGGAGCAGCTGCTGCGGAAGGCGCCAGCCTTTGGCTTCGGTTGGGCCCCCGTCGTTGTCGCCACCATCGTTGTCGCCGCCGCCGCCGTTCCTGTGGGCGTCGCCGTAGACGTCGTCGCCTCGATCGTCGTCGTCGTCGTCGTCGCCGCTGTCGTCGTCGTCACAGGGGGCGAGGAGGAGGAGGGGGAGGAGGAGGAGGAGGAGGTGGAGGAGGAGTGATAACATGGACGGCCGCGAACCGGTCGGTTCGGTTGCGTCGGTGTCGGTTGGAATCGATCGGTTCGGTCGGTTCGGTTGTTGTGGAGTCCCTGCGTCGTCGCGTCCTCTTCGGTTACTTCGATTGACTCTACAGGCTTACGCCACATCCGCCGACCCCTTCTGTGAGTGTTGCGAGGCCAGGAGTTTCTGGCCATCGGCGTCTTGTGTGAGGGTGCGGTGTCGCGCGCGGGTGGTGGCAGATACGTAGGGGGTCCAAATGTTTGCGTGATGCCGGTGGTCTGGGGCGTGTTTTGCGAGCGCTTTGCGTGCTGTGCACCCGGGTGCGGGGTGTCCTTCTGGGAGGTCGGCCTTTCGACCCGCAACCAAGTGGAGGAGCACTGGAAGACGAAAGGAGCAAGAGTAGTGTGTGGAAGCTGTGATCAGCGAAGCATCACAGCGAAAAATGTGGCAGATGAATCGAAACGGGTGAAGAGGCTGTTGACGTTCGCAGCGCGCACGAAACAGTTCGCGCGGCAGCAGCACATTAGCGCCGAGCAAGATAGTGAGCACGTCGCGAGGAAGAGTAAGGTTGTATGCGCGGAGTGCATTGCAGTTGGCGTGACGGCTCGCAATACGGAAGCGTCTGGGGGTCTTTTGGGGGCCTCCTGGGGGCCTCTTGTGGGCTCCTTGGGGCGTCTTGGCGGTTTCTTGAGGGCCGTTGGCGGCCTGTTGGGGCGCTCTTGGGGCCCCCTGGGGCTCGTGGGGGCGGAAAACTAGATTTTTGAATTGTTGGTTGCCCTCTTGGGCCCCTCTTGGTGCCGTCTTGGAGCCTTCTTGGGCCGTTTTGGGGACCTCTTGGGCCGTCTTGGGGCCATATTGGACCGTCGCGGGGCCGTCTTGGGGGCCTCTTGGGCCGTCTTGGGGCGGTTTTCGGGGCCTCTTGGGCCGTCTAGGAGCGTCGGAAAGCCCAGAAGGCGGATGTGTGAACATTGTACGTTTCACGACGGGAATACGTACATGTCTGCGTCCAGGGACCGTCTTGGGACGCATCTTGGGGGCCTCTCAGGACTTTAAGGGTAGCTCTTTGGGATATGTTACAGTATCGGGAGCATAGCTCGCGCGCCGCTGCCTTGGGCTCAAGGCACGCGCGTCCTATTTGCCCGGACACTGCTTGTGTTCGCTATGTGCTGGAAAGATCATTACATCGATCTTATCCTATCTTACCCATCCACCCCTCATACTGTACCCTCACAGCAGAGCGATGGATGCTATTTGCCAGGCTATATGCCTTATTTGAGTTACCAGGCTCACTTTCGACTTGGTAGCGGAGCTGGCCGCACTCTCGTGTGGTCAGCTCTTGCTCTTCTCAGCCTCACATTCTTCGGCACGATCTTCGTGACCACCTACTACCCTGCGCCACCACTCCCAGTACATTTACGAGGATCTATTCAAGAGCAAGAAGCTACACGAGAGGTACGACGTCTAGACGACCAGATTGGTACCATATACGCTTCATCATTGCGTTACTATCAACCGCTCGGCAACGAGCCAATAACGCAATACCTGAAGCAAGGGCGGGGAAACCCGCCAGACAGAGCGCCTCGAAGACTCGACAAGGCGCTACCCCAGCGCGACACCGCTCATCATAACCGTCCTTCGTTACACATTCTCGGGCTAATCGTTTTCGCTATCATATGGTTCGCGCTGGGGGCAGCAATCGCACGCATGCGTCGGGGAGATAACAGCACCGATGGGCAAACACATGGCCCATATTGGGACCCTCAGGGTAATGTACCTTTTCGTGAGTACATTTACGAGGTCAACGCGTGGCCCAACGTTACAAGCGGACGTATGACGCCACAGGCCCAAGCGGCCGCAATACAACGCGGCCTGGGAGGCCTAGCGAGGACACTCGCCATGAGGGTACCGCCTGACATCATAAACTATGGCGCTGATATCGACGGGGTCCACACAGACCCAGTAACTTATATTATGTTTCTCCTCAGCATGAAATTCGAACGCCTGGAAGATGAGCGACAGCTCACTTCCGGCACACAACTTATTGACTTCCATGTGCCTCACGGGGAACGAATCGATGTTACTCTTACCCGATTCGAAATGGCCCGACTTGAGGCACAGTCGGTGGGATTCGACCTTCCCAACTTCCAACTGTTAACTACTATCCTATTCCGCGCCCTAGGCGTCGGCAACCAGAAGGCCATGCAACTCTTACAGCCACTCAATCACCAAATGCCTCGAACACAACAACAGTATGATGAGTTGCTGGAGAGAATGCGTTCGGTAGGCCACCTATCCGAACGATCTCCTGGTAACATAGGATCCGTGTTTGGAAGAGGAAGAGGATCTGGTAGTGGAAATTTCTACACTACCTTGACCACTGAAGCCCAGCCTGGAAACGGGCCCTCAAACATATGGGCCGACGATTCAGGAGAAGCCACTGCTTTACTAGCAGGGGATCGATCACAACCAAGCTGGGCAACCAGCCCTCCCTCTAGAGAACCACAACCACACCGCTCGTTATGGGGGGAATCAAATCCCCTAACCGACGGTGTATCCACCTATTTAGGAGACGAAGATTTCGACTCCGGCACCGATACAGACACTATATCATCAGATGGTGTTGAAGCTCTAGATTGGTCAGATATCATGAATCTGGATAATGACAATCAGCGTGCTGAGCATTTATTCTGGCTGTTACAACAGGCTAAACGAAGGTGGAGGAGGTTCACACGAAAACCAGTGCGTCGTGTCAGAAGGAGGATACGTAGGAGTTTTAAAGGAAAGGGCAAAGGCAAGCGTGGTCGTCGGAGGTTGAACGGGCGAGGTATCGCGGCATTTCTCCAGAGGCTCTCCGATGAACAACATGATGAGATATTCTTTGGGGGAAAAGGCCGTGGTAAAGGCCGTAGAGAGACCTCAGGTAAAGGTAAAGGTAGGCGGGGAAACCCGCGAGTTAGAGACGGCCAGGTTCTCAAATGCCATGAATGTGGTAGTGCCGATCATCTTGTGCGAGATTGTCCAGCGAAGGGAAATGGAAAGGGCATGTCGTCCGAAGTCCATTTCGGCTCAAGCACACCATCCATTGAGTATCTGAGCCTCCAGGACTTTGAGGCTATGGAACAGATATTTTTCACATGGGTCGTTGGCGTGGACAACATTGACGAGCTCGAGGGGTATGGTCATGGATTATACGCGTATTACCTCGAGTACGTCCGCCGGTTCGTCACGGGCAGTAATGAACTCACTCCCGTGGAACACGGTACGCTCGGAAACGAGCCTCTTTCCTTCCTCGACTGGATGTTCGGGAACCCAGGCAACATCATGGCCTACGAGAGCGACGACGAGGACACCATTATAGAGGCTTCGCCTTCCGAGGTTCAACGGAACCTCGAACATCCGCCCGAAATCCCGCCTGGAAACAGGCCTTCTTTGATGGGGGAATATCCCCAGACCACTGAAGACTTCATTGAAATGGAGTCTCAAGCATTTGTTCAGGCCTTCATTGCAGGCGAACCAGGTTCTCCGTTCATACCTCCTGGTTCGCTTGCTCCAGGCGAATATGGACCGCGTGCACTTTTGCAGACCCTCATGTGGATGCATGAGATACTTGCAATTGCATATCCTGAGAGTCAAGAACAATTTGAAGCTGGTATTATGACAGAACAAGATAATGATGCTTGCGGTAGCTCAGAGCTACTCTTGGCAGCTTTGACTCTCATTGACAGTAAATCCTCAGGAAGTGCAGAGACACTTGATATACTCCCATGGTAGATGGCGTCGTGCCCTGGAAATGGCCATGGCTATGCGTGGTCATGATTTTCCCCCGCCAGGATGGAATCTCCAGGAGCTGGGGATGAGGCCAAACCATACGGCCATGCGTAACATTGCTAGGCAGCCTATGCTCGTCGATGACCCTGAGCCGACGACTGCGCCTCCTACTCCAGGACAGCCGAGCGACGCCCAGACGCCGGCCATGCAGGGAAACCTGCTTTTACCAGATGCGCCAATGGCCATCATAATTGGTAGTTCGACATCAGAAGAAGTAGAAGGCGATGGTTGTGGGTTAGATGAGGATGACGTCACCATCCTCATGATGGACGTGACTGGTGAGGAAGAGGTCGATTTCGACCCTGATGAGTCTGAATCATCATCACCATCGGCACAAGAGCCACTTGCGCCGAGCTCCACCCAGCAGGGAGACCTGCCTCCATCGAGCGATCCATCTGGGATCGCAGAGGAGCCTCCTCAAGCACCTCCAACGGGTGCCGCTCCTGCTGCATCGGCAGCTTCTTCTGATGAGAACACCAGAAGATCTCGTTCCCATACGCGCGTCAGAGAAGAGCCACATCCCCAGGCTCGACTTCCTCGTGAGTGGAGACAGGCTGGCCCAAAGGAACACGCTCTCAGAAGAGGTGGCCAGCTACTTCCGCACAACGACCCACGACGCCGAAAAGGGGAACACTCGGCCTTCGGCCAGGGCAATCCTGCCTATAGGGACGGCGATGGCAGGCCCATCCGTGGAGGCTATCAGCTTGCAACAAACATCCGCCGCCCTGAAATTCAAGAAGCGCGGACCCAGTTGCGAGATATTATCGCGGCTCGCAAGCAGTATAGGCCTCACGCTGCATGCGGTCCTTGTTCCCAGCCGTTCCAGAATCACAGGCCAGGATGCCCCGTTGGAAACAACGAAGGCCTGAGCCCTAACAGGGGCAAAACCCCTCCTAAAGAGGGCCATCCGCCACTTGACCCGATGACACCGGAAGAGATCGCAGTAGTGAATAGTCGTCTCGGGATCTCGGGCC